GACAGGAGGAGAGTTCAGCTTCACTGGAGACGCGCGATCGACTAACTTTAAACTCGTCATTTCAAACTATGCTGCGCTTTATCCATTTGCCCACTGTCATATTCATGTCATTTTCACTGTGTGCTGTGTGTAAAATGAGTGTTACCTTGGCTTTATTTGAAAAAAATATGATTCCCAATGCTCACAAACTTCCCAGATTACCCTGTTGGCTCCAATGTTTACTTCCTTTTTATTTATATATATATTTTTATATTTCTTTATTTGTGAAAAATACTGTAATAGGATTACAGAATCAAGAAGTTGTCATCTAAAGTGTTTATTTGAGAGATTTTTTAAAATAATTTTCAAATAATTTCACATTTTTTAAATATGAATTAAAATGTAAAGTAAAAATGTTGCTCTCTAAGATATCGCTCGGCCATTGAAACCCATTAATGAAGCTCCCGCCACACAGTTTTTGTGCTGATGCTAATGCCAGTGAACGTTTGGAGCTCTTCAGCTCTGGAATCAGCAGAGCGTTGGTGACTTTTATTCTCCATGCACCTCAGCACTTGGTGAGCCGCTCTGTGACTGTACATGGTCTTCCGCTTCATGAGTTTCTGCTGCTCCTAAATGCTTCCACTCTCCAATAATACCACTTATAGTTGAGCGTAGAATATCTGGCACTGACACTGTTACTGTGATAGGTGGCATGCATGCTTGAATCACTGAGCTCTTCAGAACGACCCATTTTTTCCACAAATGTTTGAAAATGCGGACTGTAAGGCTTGTGCTTGTCTTTATATACCTGTGGCAATGGGTCTGATTGAAACTGCTGAATTTGATTATTAGGAGGTGTGTCCCAACACTTTTGTCCATGTTGTGTACATCTGAGCATGAGGATGTGAAGGTCAAGCGCAGACACTTACCTTCGGATACGGGTACTGTTTGCCTTTAGGGTATGTAGAGCCAGTGAAAGTGGGCAATGCCATGTTTGGCACCAGACTGTCATTCAGGACCAGAAATGCCAAGCGTTCGCCGTCAGGTGACCACCAGTGCGCCACATGCGTGTGAAGGATCTCCTCTGTGCATGCGTGTTTCCAACAAAACAAGAGTTTTAAAAACTGAATGGAAAACTGGACTTTTTATCTGTGCTGTATAAGATCTCAGAGTCAAACACAAACACCTGAGCTTCACCACACATCTTCATCTGGAGAAACTGTGAGCTAACGTACAATCAACTTACACAAGAGAAAAATGGACAACACTTACTGTGCTAATCTGTGTCTCAAAAGAGAAAAAATGCATCATCATCATATATTTCTTAAATCTTATACAGAGATATAATAGAGCAAGTCTCACCTTCATAGAGCCAATCAGCGATGCCATTATAAATGACGCCCTCTTTCCCAGATGAGGTCAGTCGCAGCGAGTTACTCCTGACATCCGACTGATAGTAAATATTATTCTCAAATATGTACACCTACACACACACACACACACAGAAGATATTTAAAATCTCAATCATGCTCTTATTAAATCACACCATCGATTCACACTTATAGAAAATTACAGGAAGTCCAACTTTAAATACTACAACTAGACTTAAACTTGGCTGTATTTTATTCAGTGTTATTGCATGCGCTCTGACACGCTGCTTAGACACGTGACTCGAGTTTGAATCCGGAGTGTGTCCTCAAGTCAAGTCAAATTCATTTCAAAGCAGTTTTACAGAGAGTCGTACTGTCATGTCTATAATGTATTAGTGCTGTACTACAGAGTGGGTTTTAGGGCTTGCTGATATGACAATATATAAAGATGATCCTCCAGATTTGAATATATTGTATTTATAGTGTTGTCTAGCACATATATGAGCAGCTCAGTGACTCGGACACATGTCTGTGCTTTCAAAGAAATTAAGAGATGACGACTCACAATCTGCTATAAACCTCCTAACCATCACAAAACTGGACCGAACACAAACACAATGCAAAAACGTAACTGTTAACAATTTAGTGTTATAGTCTGTCTCTCTGGAATCAACAGCTCCACTATTTAAGGTGTGTCTGAAGATAAAGAGTAAATGTGGATAGCAAAAGAAGAGCTCACCAGCTGCTGGCCCTGAACACCCCACGCCGCATGCTGCTCTCATCCATTAACCATCCTCAACATCCCTCTCTTCCCTTCTAGGTTGATTCGGAGGGGTCCTAATCGCTCGGCCACACATAACCGAGACAACACCCCCATCCTGAGTCTCTCTGGGCCACCAACATCGGACGCCCGGATCAACCTGTTATCATCTCTTCCCCTTTTCCCATCCTTCCCTTCCCTATTCATCCCTATATTTATACAATAAAGATTACTTCCCTACTTTCGCAGTGTGGCGTGGTCCTTGCTAGTGAAATATTAAAAAGAAGTTTTATTGCAGAAAGCAGCACATACCTGTTTGACATTGTAGGCAAAAAGCACATACTTCATGTCTGGGCTTATGGAGTATCTGGTGGCTTTGAAAGTATCCTGGAAAAAACATGAAAGATGTTATCCTCATTACTGCATGGGATCATAAAGATTCATATCCCAAAAACTACAGACTGTGCCTCAACGTTTCTGCTGGGAACGTCTCATTATGAAAACCTTAAAAGGGTCATATGATGTTGCTAAAAAGAACATTATTTTGTGTATTTGGTGTAATGTATTTTGGTTTAAGGTTCAAAAAACATTTTTGATGATGCCTCTTATTTTTTTAATGATTAACATTGTGAATTGTGTAAATTGTGTAAGGCGTATGTAAACATACGAGCTCAACTGCATGTTCAGTGTTTGTGTGGTAAGTTTTTACTCACGAATGTGGTGTTCTTCAGCACAATCTCTGTCTCGTTTGTGAGGATGTTAAACCTGATCACATGTCCATGGTGATTTCTGTAGATCACCTCAGATTCTGGCAAAGAGAAAAAAGCAGACAGTCAATATTTAATAACAAGTCATGTGATTAGTTTGTAAGGTTTTGAAGAGCGTTCACGTCTCACAGCAATGCAAGATTAAATACACCTTTAAGTTAAAATGCTCCTCTTGGAGGGTTATTAATGTAAACACAGTCAGCTATGCGTAAATGAATGTGAACACACATCTGATTCGTCCATCTGTGTGTTATTAGATTTTACAGCGTAAACACAGCTAACAGACCAGCTGCTGCTTGTCAAATGACTTGTCATGTATTTGCTAAGTCCTATTCATTTCAAAACGAGTTCTCTTTCTTTTCTGCATTTGACCTGTGCTCTCGCTTGTGTCCGATCTATCTTCAGACGGATAAACAGGCAGAATGTAAAGCAGAACTGCTCGTCTGTTTCACCTCGAGTTATTCATATTTATGAGCTGCATGATGGCTGTAAAGGTAAATTTCCAGTCTGAGAGTCACGCGGAGTTGCTATTGACTGCAGTGAGGAAAAGCAGACGGTGAAACATTAATAAAGCTCTCAGTTTCCAGCTCTAAACCGGAACAAAACTCTGAGTGCTGAAAGCAGAAAGCATCTGGTGAACTGACACACCTGATTTAATGCTGAGAGCTCGAGGAATGAAAACGTGCTAAAGTCAGGAGATCTAGTTTCTGGACTGTTGAGTTATTTGTAGTCCATCATAAGGCTGGATGAAGGGCTGCTCAGAATAATGCTGATTAATGTTTTTACAGCACAAACATTTGTCTAAAAAGGCTACTTTTCCAGCGATGGTATTTTGCATTTGAAGATTAATTTTACTTGAAGAAATAAATTCAAACAACAGCAGACTTCACTCACACTTCTTTTACACAATCACTGATAAACAGATCACGGATCTGATGTGCGAGCTGCTATTAAATGGCGCAAAGATACCTGAGTGAGAGCTGAATTAAGCTGAGAGGTTCTAGAAGAAGAAACAGTTTGTCCAGAAGAACAGCTGCATCTCATTGTCAGCAGTCAGACAACAGTCTCTATTCAACAGCAGCACAACACTGAAGCATTTATGACTCCATAGTTTGATTCAGCGTGAGACAGGAGAACCGCTGCTATTAAATATTTATTCTCTCGTGCTCTGCAGATGTGATGCGTTCTGAGGGTCACGTGCTGAACGCTCACGAGAGGACGATCCGCATGCTCTCAGAGTAACGTCACACTGAGCTGCATCACATCCACGCGGGGCGGCGCGGGGGGTGCTAGGTCATTGGCAGGGGCAGCTGGGCAATTAATAGTAAATATGATCAAAAGATGTTGTTATTATTATTAATAATAATAATAAAATAGCCTAAATTGCCCACTCGATTTTGTAACATTTTATTACCTGATTATTTGGCTCATCACAATTTGATTAAAATGTTTTGTTTTATGAAATTAGACAAGTAGCCTTTAGATCAGTCAGTTCCCAAAGATTTTTATACAGTCCCCCTAAAATTCACTGAACAAGCATTTCGGAATGTGAGTCAAAGGCAATGTGACATCAAAAAGCACTGGGGATATATTTACTTGGTATTTACAGTCTCAAACCAGAGCCTTTAGATTAATATGCGCTATAGATGTGCATATCAAGTGTTTATGAGAAGTGTGGGAGTATTATTGCGCTTACTGCATGACATGGAGGCGCCCACGCAATCCCTTGCATTTTTTCCTGCGGAAAGAACTTAGAATAGGTTACTCCGTCATTTTTGGTCATAAGAGTAGCCTAATAGGCTACATCATTCATAAAAAAATCTATTTCTGCTTTTATTTATGTACACTCACAATAACAACAAAATGTTGAGCTTTTGTAAAATAGAGAAAAATAAACAGGATGCACTTTCTGCCAGTCTCCGTGAAATGGAGCGCGTCACAACAATAAACAACCTACTTGTCTCACACAAAAAAAATATATGAAAAAAAAATATCTTGAAATGTCTACTAATGAACAAACCAATAAAAAAAAAATCTCTAATTATGTAGTCTGTATAAAAATTAGCATTTCCATTACTGTGAAGATGACGAGTCTGCGTCGGCATTCGGTAACTCAGCCGACACTCACTGAAAGCACTAGTTTATTAATAAATAATTAAAATGTCTTCTTTTCCCCGGGCACATTCATAATCATTAATTTTGCCCGTGCTTTGTGGCAAGCTTTATGCACGCACTTGAGCACAAAATATAGACTACACGCCTATATGCCTAAAGGATGGTTTAGTAGGTTATTATATTAATCAATTAAATATAAACGTGCGACTAGTTGACTAGAAAAATCTTTAGTCGGGGGCAGGCCTACTTGGCACAAGGAACCGATCCATTTTTAAAATTAAATACTATGACATTATGACAAGTGCAACTGCAAATCACGTCACGCTGCATTGCACGAGTTATGCATGCGTTATGAGTCAAATGCTTTTATTTTATTTCATTTTTTGGGGGTGCTATGGGGGTGCTTTGGTCTTTCTTGGGGGTGCTGAAGCACCTGCTAGCCCTTCCCTAGCGCCGCCCATGCATCCACGGCTAAGACTCACTGAAGAACAGTCTTAAGCTGAAGTCTGGAGTGACTGCAGGACTCTGATAAACACAGATCTGTCTGGAAGAGAAGCAGGAGCTGAAGGATTCACTGCATCACACACTCACAATGAAATATTCATGCTGCTGCCGCCAGGGTAAGACCTGAGAGCCCCTTCCCCCATCCTGTTACCATAGCAACTACCACATCCACCACTCAGACACATCCGCACACACACACACACACACACACAATGCCAAGGCCTGTGATGCCCAGTATGGCAAAAATGTTTCAGCGTAACTAGACAGTATTCACTAATCTGAAAGGTCAAGTTCTCAAAGTCACATCATCAGATGCTTTCACACACTCCATGAATTATTCAAACACATTCACTTCCTACATGCTGGCCCAACTATTTCTACCACGTGACGTCTCATTGGTTCTTATGATGCAGGAAATAGTATTTGACATAGCCTTCAATCAGGAATGAGCACTAACAGGAAGTTCACATTGTGTTAAACTGACACACTCTCCACTTACAGCCTCATAGAGACAAAAATATGGAAAAATGTCAAATCGTTGTGCTCCTGCACAGTGTCCTGCAGGAAGCTTCAAAGTGTAAAAAGTGTAGACGGAGACCTGGAGAGGCCTACAAGCCACAGTGTCTCGCACTCAGTGTGAAATTTGGAGGAGGATTGGTGAGGATCTGGGGGAGCTTCAGCAAGGCTGGAATCTGGCACATTCGTCTTTAATCAATTCATTTATTTATGTATATGTATATATGCCACTCTCCAGGTTAGTGGCTTCAAATCTGTCTGTAAAATGCAAAGTGGATTTCCCACTTTGGATGGACAGAATTTCTAATTAAAAAGTCTACACACATTTCTAGGGGTGTAACGGTACACAAACATGACGGTTAGGTACAGTTTTGGTACAGCAGGGGAACATTTTTTTATTTTTTTTATTAAACAGTGGTTTACTGAACAAATTGCTCTTTCTTTAAATAAACTCAGTTATAATTACAATTTTCTTAGGGATAAAAATCTACCTCGGCTTATGCTCTAAACTATGATCCTATGATTTACATTAGGCCTACTATGAGGTTACAGTTAACAACAGAGCCCAAACTTAAATTTAAATACTATTTATTTTTAAATATAACAAGCAACACTCAACTTAAAAAAAATTGTATGCTAACATGTAAATTGCACATAATGCAGTTTTTAAATTAACTTCTAAATTATAAAAATTCTATTTGTTGTTGAAATATATTCATTTACACAGCGAAATGCTCTTCTCTAGACTTCATTTATCGCGCACTAACGAGCTGTGGAGACTGATGACTTCCTGAGGAGGTAAAATGCTACGTGACATTTTGTTTACAAGCTGTTTTATTGCTGTCTTTCCGCGGTTGAAACACTGATTGAGCGATTACGTGAGGCATGAGATGTTCATTCATGTTTATTTTGTGTTAAAACTAGTAAAGAGGAAGAGATGATCGCACTGCCGTTTGAACTGAGGCGTTTATTCAGCGATCTGTCGTGCCACATCAAAGAGCGCCAAAACAGCATTTATTGTTTCCTGAAAAAAAAGGACATAATTTGAAAGATGAGACTTTGTTTCTTATCAAACAATATATAAAACTGGAAGTTTCCAATGAAGTTCCACCTGAAAATTTTCAGTACGAATACGTGTACCGTTACAACCCTACACATTTCCACTGATTTCTTCTGCGTTCTCTGATGCAGAGCGCTGCTGCGGCTGCACAATTGCTTCGATTACATGAGGCATGAGATGTTCATTCATGTTTATTTTGTGTTAAAACTAGAAAAGAGGAAGAGATGATCGCGCTGCCGCAAAATTGTTAGTCTATGTTTGTGGTCTCAAACGTTTCAGATAAATCTGAAGAGCATTTAAAAAACTACTTTTGATGGAAAATGTACATGTCAGACAGATGGTTTCTTCTCGTCCAAGTGAGTGATTTATAATGTTTATTGCTCAGTGTCTGCGGTCATGATCAATCATCCTCTGCGATCAGCTGTGCTTAAGAGCTCATGATGGTGTACAGATGATTAATGAATGAGATCCATTAGAAATTAACGATGCGTGTGGCTCTGTGGTCGTATCGTCTTACCGTTGATCCAATGAGCTTCAGGGTCGTGCACGTAGAAATCTGTGTTGAAAAGATCCTCCACCGTCAGCTTGGTGTCGCTGCCAGGTTGCGTATCGACTATCACACAAACAGACAGACAAGAGCACCAGGTCAGTAACGGAGATGCTGCAGGCGTCACATGTCACGTAACAAACGGCAGATTGAGTAACGCCGCTCACATTGCTGCTGGCCTAACGCTCGAGACTTTCTCAATGCAAAAATCTCAGGTAGGACCTGGAGAGTTGTGAACACGAGCACTGTGAGAAAATCACAATGAATGAGGATGAACTTGTACCTCATCATTATGGGTTTGCTGTAGTACCTGGAGTGAGGAGGATCACAGACATAGTGATGAGAGAACAGACCACCAGAATGACCAGCAGAGCGATGGCGATCCCCTTCCAGTTCCTCTGAGGAGGACTCATTCCCGCCAGATCCTTCAGGAAACACAAACACACACAAATACCTCAGTTCTTCAGCTGCACAGAAATCACAGCAAGAATGTCGAGGTTTAACATCTAGTAATGACATGAGCGAGTAATACTAAATGTTTCATTTGTACTAAATTTTTTAATTTGAGTTCATTTGTACTCAATGAGGGACGAGTCTAAATGATCTGGGTAACAGAAGCACGCCTCATGTGAGCTAGTTAATTTGGAGTCATGATTTCTGTCGAGATGTTCTGTCATGATTCCCGGAGCTTCAGCACATGGACAAAGGCTTTCTGCTCCAACTCTAGTCATTCATCAACTTCTCAAACCTTCACCTTCATGAAGGACTGGAAACACTGTACAGGAACATTTCTGCTCACTGATGACAACTAATGCCTTCCCGTCTTTCGGCAAACATGTTCCTCCTGGTTTAGAGGCTGAAACAAGCGGTCAGAGAGCATCGAATGTAATAAAACACAAGCGAGGTGATATAATAGAGACCGTTCAGGCTAACAGTGGAATTTGATATCAGAGTGACCAAACGAAAGCTCCTGAATCAGTTTAGAAGAGCAAACCAATCCTGTTTTAAAGGACAGTCATATTTAGATCTTGTACATAATGTCTTCAGCCAATGATAATCGCCGTCAAAGTCCTCATGTACCTGCAAACTCTTCGACATTACAGCTCTCGCTCTCTGTCTGCAGAACAGGTGAAAGGGTTAAACGATGTGATGTGGTGATTTGCTGAATTTCAGTTGAGAGCAATAATACAAAAAAAAACAAAAAAACAATGAACTGATGAAAATGAACTCCTCAGACCTTGGCTGTGATCGTCTGCACACGTGTATAAAGACAGAGAAATCGTGCGCCGCTATTTTTAGTGTACCACTGCTCGCTTTGACCTCGCCGAGGGCACATTTAGGACGGTCAGAGGACGAACAGATTCACCGAACCATCATTCATCTCTCAACATGAGCAGCAGATCTCAGGTTCCTCTCACTGCGTTCCTTCACACGCCACCAAACACCATAATCAATACAGAAGACATGTGTGCACATGAACCACTCAAAAACCATACACATATCCACGTAAGCAAACGTTAGCAATGTCACTGTGCAAAATACTCCTAACGTGTGTCTGTAAAGGTCTGTGCATGTCAGGATTATAAAATCATCAGGACATCAGGGGCCGATTGCATAAACTTCACTGTGTCTTAGGGTCTACTCTGAGCAACTGAGTATCTCTTACTTTTCAGATTCAAATTAGACCAATCTACACTTTTTGTTATGTAACTGGCTTTAAAAAAAAATTTGATGACTTGCTTGTGAGACTATAGTCTTAGCATTTTATGCGACCGGCCACTGAACACAACATCTGGAAACCTCTACAATCTACAGACAGTACAAGTGTTTTCACAGTAAAATGCAAAGCTTCCGCATGAACAAGACACAATGCATTCCTGTGGGATGAACATTTACCTGACAACAAACCAAAGTTTTTGAGTGTGTTGATTATTACATACATCAGAGCATGTGGTGGCACAAAACACACAGAATTAAAGGCACGAATGTTGTTGTGCTGTTGTCTTTCATGTCACACATATTTGAGCACAAACCTGAAAAACACAGGCCTAACCCGTGATTAGTGAGCTATATATATAGAGAGAGAGAGAGAGACAGAGCTATAATGCAGTAATGAAACACATCGTTATTTCATATCCCACACACAGACACTGAATTGCAGTGACATTTCTCAGAGCGCTGTGCTGTTTTTAGATGTAGTTTTATGGTTCCCTGCGTCTGACATCATAATGTTATTGTGTGCTTTCATTTTCAAGAGAGAACCGAGAAACTAATACATAACGAATGTGAACCGATGCTAATGGTGTGTTTGTGAAGGCATCATAATGTCAAATACATTCATTGAGCTGATGTCAGAGGTCAAGCCGCATCAGTGTCGCCCAAAAACACACAGCACTGAACATCATCTGACATTTACAAATGTAGCAACATTAATAATACATTTTTGTCACCAAAAGTGAAGTATTCCATTACTTCAATGTGAAACAGGATTTGCAGAAGCATTCAGATCCTCATCTCATTGTACTCTGAGTTTGACTCATTTAATTATCCGATGTAGGGATATTGACCATTTAACCGTTAACCGAAAGTTAGAAATTTGACAGATTAATACAATCAGTTAAACGGTTTAAAAGTATTTTTTCCAAGTATTTTTTAAAAGTTTGCTGCATTATTAAAGAAAAATATTCTATACATATTTTTTAACTCACAGGGGCGTGTTTTTATATGCAACCAACCAATGTGTCATCTTAATTAGTTAATTATTTAAATGAAAAATATTTAGTGTAGGCCTATTTATTTGATTATTTGTATTTATATCGTTTTATTCTGTTTTTCTTTGTTCTCAGAAGCGCTGCAGGTGTATTTTTAATGGGCACAGACACTCGTCCATTCTATTATTTATTTAATACTAATTTAATATTCAAATCTTATCAGTTAATGTTAACGTTTGGATAACGAGCGGCGGTTGTCGGTCGACATTAAATGGGTTTAGTTTTCACGGTTATTAATGTATGCAATTTCAGCAATAAACATTTAAATTTTTCTAAAAAGAAAACAAATGAGTTGTTTATTTTAAGAGATCTATCTTATTATCTCTTGTATATTTAGTATTGCTCTTTAATAAAGAAAAATTACTTCTTATCCGATTACTCGATTAACCGATGGAATAATCTGTAGAATACTCGATTACTAAAATAATCGATAGCTACAGCCGTATTCAGAAAGTTACTGAACACTTTCCAATATTCTTTCAGCCTGACCAGTTATAGAAAAACCGAAGTGTGTGTTTGAGAGACTAGGCTTTGTGCCGGTAGAAGAACCATTTTCACGCAGATTTCTTCCATTGAGGCTTGAGAAACATGATCAAAAGCTCAAATCTTACTAATCGGCATATGCTCATCATCGGACGAAGAAAAATATGTTGGTTCGATGTACAGCGACTGATCATCAAATAGCACCAAAGGAATGAATTATTTATATTCTTGTTTCCACTGAACATTCGTGTTGGAAACATTCATGAAAGAATCTTAACAGTTGCCTCTGCCAGTCAATCATTCCAATAAATGCCTCATTTTCTACATTAAAATGCCCATAATTAAAGCAATCATGGTTGTGCATCAGAAGGCCAGCTGTGAAAATGAAGACTAGAAAGCATTTTCAATTAAAATAAAGAACAAAGCTGCATCTTTTGATCTGCACTAAATTTCCCAGCAGGCAGAATTTTTAAATGTAGAATAGCTGAATTTCAGGTACTGTAAGCTATATCAAACTGGCAGAAAATGTGTTTCTCTTTCACAGTTCTGCATGAGCGTGTGAGAGACACCAGCGATGAATGTGATGAAGACACAAGCACAGCTGTCAAACACAAACACCCTGCAGCGACGCGTCTGCACGACTGGACTCAGATTCCACAGATTAAACACATTCAGATGCTTATTTGGGTTACAAACGTTTGCCATAAAAACCACGTTAACACTGAATAAAAATATTACAAAAGAACAAACTGTGATTGATGATGAACGAATGAAGCATCTCTGTCTGTGTGCCATCACACTTTTACCTTTTATATGAGGCAGTGTGGGTAGTTACATAAAACAAAAATATTACAATATATATATAACACAAACTATTTTCAAAGAATATAAAATTGTATAAATATTAAACATGCAGATGTTATGATTTTATTTTAACTGTCAGACTGCATGGAATATTTGTACTTCTGGATGATGACATCACTGAATCATCAATGAACTGACTTTAGCTGGAATTTTTGTTATTGTCTTCTTGCATTATTGACAAACTATTTAAAGCTGCTTTGACACAATCAGTATTGTATAAAGCGCTTTAGAAATAAAGCTGACTTGACTTCTGTCGTCGGCCATCTGTTATTTAAAATGAACAAAAATGATGGAATACTAATGAAACGAACAGCGATACAGCAGGTAGTTGGGATGAAACCTTCCCTTTAAACATTCATATAGATTACAAACTAAAACCTTTCACACATTATGCGACAACTGCCACAAATCAGCTCCGGTAACCAGAGACTGGTGTTTTAACGCAGTCATCAGCACAGTCAGTTCTCCAGCAGCACCTGCCCGAAACGCGTCGCTCTTCATCCAGCGTCCTCTCGTGATTGTATTCGCATCACCGCATCACCGCCGGCCTGAACTGGTCCATTAGTCACGGGCGCTAGCGTGCACATAATTACAATCACGAGCACAAACGGATTCGCTGGAGACGAAAGAACCCCGACAGCGGAGCTGCTTTATATCTCCTGCATGTTCACCGAAAGCTGACGGTGATGTCATGTGCTGACAGAACGGGCACGGGCGTTGCGTTCGCCTGCGCGCGATCCATTACCTGATACTCGCCGGATTCGGGGGAAAAAAACGTTACAAATAAGAGAAAATGCGGACAAACGTGTTTTTTGTAAACACTGTGTAACGTATGAAGATGCCGTTCGTTACCTCGTCCTGCGGATTCGGTCTCTGGCTTTGCTGCTCTTTGGTGGCCGTCATGGTTCCCGCTTCAGATGTCGCTGAGAGATCCCAAAAATACCCGAAATGGTGATTCTAACGCCGTTTCAAGACCAAAGAACCGCTCCTCCGTTTGCTCTTCGGTGTCCGTGGAGGAGCGCGCAGCGTCTGGGGCATTCTACCGCAGCAGCGCGCGGACAGATAAAAGCGAGCGTGATCGAGTGTTGCGAACGATGTTCTGATTCTGATCTCTGTCGAATTCAAGCTGACTGCAAAGAGAGGATGAGAGGAGCGGCGGGCGAGAGCAGCGCGGACTGATGCTGAGCTCGAGGGGCGGGAGGATTCGCCTTGATGACGCGCGAGCCCGAAACCACAGACAGACAGACAGACATCAAATAAATCGAGGCGATTCCAGCAGCCGCTTTAAAACATGCTGCCTCGAGCAGTTCCAGCATCATGACTGACATCTGAATGACATCCATCACCTCCCAGACAGCAACATAGTGTTGGCCCAGATCCGGCCCACATCTGGCCCATGTGAGATCCAGATGTGGGCCGGATCTGGGCCGAAACTGTCTGCTGTCTGGGCTCTGAACTAAAGCAAACTCCCCGACACAGAATTACGACTGTTTCCAGTAAAAGATCACAACTATTTGCTCATCATCAGTGCATCTGTGAATACACATGTGACTCCACAAATGTCACTCTCATTCATTTCAAAAAGCGGTGACGAGGTGAGTTTATATATCTCACACATCTTGTCTTGTTGGAAACTGCTTATTGAGATAAATGCTTCTCATATCAAGGCCATATTCACAATGCAGATGAAAGTCATGGCGCTACTGAGCGCTTCTGCAAAGACAGTTTGGTCATTTATACGTATTACAACCAAATGCATTCCTGAAATAATCAGGTAATGTCAGCATGTTTATATAAAACCTGAATCCATGTGTACAGAACCAAAATCAAGAGCTAATCAATGACCCCACTTTTGAAGCCATGAAATGTGTGCTGGATAAATGATGCAGTTTACTTCAAAAATCCATAATAGTTTAACATATACAGACCTAAACGAACCATCATCTATGGATGACATTTCTGTGGAACTGCCCACCTGTTTTAAACATATTTGCTTCTAAAGTTAATAAATTGTGCCCAAAATATTGATAAACTTGAATTTTGAGTTTTTATTTATTTAGTTGTATTATTATTATTATTTATTTATGTATTGCTGTTAGAGTAATGGGGTAAACTAAATGACGTTTTATTAACAAGGTTCGGGAGGTGCACAATCAGATAATCAACCAATTCGGCACAGGTGGAACTCGTTTAGATAATCAGCTTAACTAGCTCAGTACATATACAGCCAACTTGCCTCTCCATGACAGTTTTCTGGCATCCCTCCTCCACCCCAGCTCCTCACTATTAAAATATTACCATCCCATACTAGGGATTGGGGGAGTTCTCTGGGTTCGGCTATATTCCGACAGAGCACTCTTAATGTCAGGTGGCAACTAATTCTAGGGCTGTGCAATTAATCGCATGCGATTGTCATGTGCATCTCGTCAGTAAAGCCGGTTCCGTGATTGGTAGTAAATTGCCATCACCTGCGTTCAGATGGAGCGGCATTTAATACACAGAGCCGTAGTTCACTGACAAGCTAGGCATAGGGATGCTCCGATCTGCCTTTTTCACCTCCGATTCCGATACCTAGGGTTCAGTATTGGCCGATACCGATCCGATACCAGTGAAGGTTTTTTTTTTTCTTCATTTACCGTATTGGCCCGAATATAAGACAATGTTTTTTTCTTGGAAATACATCTGAAAAAACGCGGTCGTCTTATATTCAGGGTCT